ATTAAAAAGGTAGAGCTTAATTATACCATTAAAATATTTAATTCAACTTAAATAGAACACCTTCTTAGAAAAAAGAGAATTTTGAGTATCTTAGATTGAAATACTCATAACTCTATATATTGATCTCAAATTAAAGTTATACAAGAGGTCTCAAAACCATAAGGGATTTATACAAAATATATCTAAGAATCAATTATTAATTTGAAGTCTAGATTCCTCAAAAGTAGCCGTAAATATTAGTCTATAATCTATAAAAACAAAACCCTAGGTATAGTAAGGAAATAATTATAATTTTTTTATCTCAACCTTCCTTAGAGTTAGGTTTCCTAGCTTCTACGAGAAAAACTAAGAGAATGACTAAAATATAAGAAAAAGAGTTATGAGTTATTAGGTTGATAAAGAGAATAAGGTCAAAATAATATGAAGGTGCTTAAGAGGTTACTGTGAGGTCTAGGGTTCAATCCCTTTAGACCTTATTTTAAGTTTTTATTTTTTTACTAATATAATTATAAAGTTATAGTAAATTTAATTTAGTCTAATTTGGTTTGATAAAGATAATATTTTTATCAAAACTCATCCTTCAATCTCACTTGTGTATCTCAATATTTTTAGTATAACACTCTTCTTTGATTATATTTCTATATAATTTTTTATTATACTATTTATGCCTAAATAACTTATTATCCATTATATTCCTGATGTTTAAAACTTAAACTTTCTTACTTTAATCATGATTAAGGTATATATTATCCACTATATTCCATATTCTTTGATGGGTATGATCTAGGGCTGAGAGTAGATAACTTCTGAAGACAAGTCTTCGTCGACAAGCAAGGAAGCCATAAGTAAGGAAAACGAGTCTCCTGCAATTGAACTTGCAGCTCCTTCCTTATCTTGTTCTCTTGCACCACTTACAGCTGGACATTCTCCCCTTGAGGATTAAACCGCTTGCTACTTACCTAAGACTAAAAGAATGGAGAGCGGAAGATTAGATTGTAGGAATCCAGACATGAAGAAGGTGGCTATCAGATAATCAGGAAATTCTCTAAGATTACAAGTAAGGGAATTCTATAAGATGAAAAGTAAAGGCAATAGGGTGGATTTTGTATCGTTTACACCCAGGGAAACTTCAATTTAAAGAAAATAAATCACCTATCTTGACTTAATAAATCCCGGGTTTTGGTAAAAAGTCTCTTTCTGCTCTTGTTGAATTCCTATACTAGGGGTAGTTGTTTCATTTATTTACTGGGCTAGGGTAGTTGACTTTTGAACTCACTCCTACTGTTTCTACTATATTATTTCTCCAACTACTAGTAAAGGAGTGCAGAGTAAAAGGAGTTCTAATTCAATAAAGAAGTCCGGAGTTACAGAGCCAGAGGATAGTTATAGTATCCAGAGGAGAGGCGAGGAAGCAGAGCCAAAGCCAGTAGTAAGAAGTTTTGAAGCAAAGGGGAAATTACGGTAAATATGAATATAGGTAATTACTATGGGGCGATTTGTGGTAAGTGTGGGAGAAGAAGACCGGTCCCTTATTCTTTTTCAAGGGATGGTTGCCCTCAGCTAGTTGAATTCTGACAATTGAGCACCCGGCTTTAGATCTTGTTCCTATAGTAGCTGATGATCTTATTCCTCTATTAATTGAGTTCCCAAACACAGGACTTGCTCATAACTCCCTAGTGGTCGTTATTCGTTGCTGCCGCCATGAAGACAGGACTCCGGAATAAATAGTTATAGCTCGTTTATTACTTGTTATGCGTTTGTAGTCATTGCTTGGCTAGTTGCCTTTGTAGTAGTGTCTTGGCCCAGTTGAATCCCTAGTTACTGTTCTCAAGTCAGCTGCAGTGATAGTACTCAACTCCTGTTTGATCGAAGCCTTTAACTAGAAATACCAATGCATGTTGTTTCGCACACCCAAGTCAACCGATTGAGAGAGATAGGCCAGGCCCATGCTTTGCTATCCTTAGTTTGGATTTCTATAAGGGTTTCCCTTGAAAGCGCTACAATGGCAGGTTCTGAAATACATGAAAATTGGATGAATGTGAACGAGATCCCATATGGAGCAGGAATTCCCTTTTGTTTTTTTATGTGATGCTTCTTATTTAGAGTTATTAAAAGACCAAGTTATCCATCCGCTTTTTAGATTATTTTCACTTTGGGCTTTTCTTCCTATTGAAAAGAGTCCGGTTTCAGTCCTTCACTCCCACTACTCATCCAGAACTATAGAAATAAAGTGATTCATAGAAAATGAAAGAGCGATTGATTTGATTGGACCTCACCACTTTGTAGAAAATCGTTATGAATATGTTAGCTACTTGTGACTCTATTGGTGAAATAGTCTCTCTCTCCAAAAAAGATGTTTTACCCACAAACAAGGTCTTAGGGAAGAGTATAATAATCATCCAATAAGAAGGGTTTCAATTTCATATACTTAAATGAATGATTTGAACACCTATTGATTATAACTACTGATTGCAGAGTGGATCATTCACGGACCTTTCAATTCATAGATGTGGATCTTAGACCTATACTATAAATAGAGGGAGATTATTGATACTTAGGGAAGTTACTTGTACAAAAAGAAACGAAGTGACTTTGACTTGTTTGTCCATAGCCTCAAGACCAATCAATCAAATATAGAGTAGTAACCGATCAAACACTAGGTTCCTCTGTTAAGAAACTAAATTATGTGACCTGGGCTCTTATTGGGCCATTAGTCTCTAGTTAAGTAAGGATCCTTGTCCTTGGATACAAGCTCTAAGACAAATAGTATAGTACGAATAAAGGACATGAATTGAATAAATGAACTAAGCATCCTAAAACCTTATTGCCTTGAGTGTGAGTTGAGTCCGATAAAATGAACTTAGTAGTTCGACTCTCAATCTGCCTTTAGAGAGTTAGGTTTGGGTTTACTATTCCCATCTTTGATCCTTACTTGTTAGTTAAAGAATCCCACTTACTACTTATATGAACTAAGGACTAATACTTATTCTGTTCTACTCACTCATACACGCTAGGCACCTAGCAAGACAAAACAACTATTACTTATCAAAGGAATAACTAAGAATAAGGAATTGAACTGAGAATGCAGAAGTTGACTCATTAGTAAAAGAATGAAATTACTCCTATAGGAATGGTAACTGCCGGGTCTTAAGCTAGAGCGTGCATGGGAATTGGAGAAACACCGCAGGGAATGAGATAATAAAGTCAGGATACCCGGTAGAGAGCTATAAGGCCATAAGAGTTAGCTTGGGATCTAGGCAAGGCAAGGAAGACTCACAGACAAGAGCGAGAGACTAAATCTAAGCATCCGTATACGCGATCAAGAGTAGGAGTTATAGAAGAATAAAAAGCATAGGAATGAGAGACATCGTAGTAAGAATATAGTAGTTAGCGTAGGCAGCCTCAAGGTGGAGGAAGTTAGTTTGAATGACAAGGTAGCCTGTTTGCTAGCAACTCTATTTTAGAAGGCAATAGTCGATTCTTTTTTCACAAAGCAAGTAAGGCTCCGGATCGTTAGTCATAGAATAGGAAAAGGGGATTTCAGGCTTCAAAGTGGCTATGACAGCATTGGGAGCAGTAGTAAGGTTCTCGATAGCATTAGTTTTCGTTTTCTATATTCAATGGGGGAGTCAGGATGCTCTAAGGGTAGTAAGGATGATAGCCGGGATATTTAGAATGAGAGAAGGGAGTCTAAGGCTTATAGAAAAGAATACTCGATTTAAAGATAGGCGAGGGCAGGCTAACTCTCGAACTAAGAAAGTAAGGTAAGGAGGGTAGGTTAGGAGACAGTCGCAGTAGTCTGTTTGTCAGTAGAAGCTAAAGAATTGCTTGTTCCTGTTATTGTTTAAGAAGCCGTGTGAAAGTCATTAACTCAAGGCATAAGATGGAAAGTCAACTAAAGAATCAACGGTTAACAAGTCCACAGCAAATGGAATCAGAGGTCTTGCATTTCAATTCCCTTTAGACCTTATTTTAAGTTTTTATATTTTTTTACTAATATGATTATAAAATTATAGTAAATTTAATTTAGTCTAATTTGGTTTGATAAAGATAATATTTATGTCAAAACTTATCCTTCAATCTCACTTATGTATCTCAATATTTTTAGTATAACACTCTTCTTTGATTTATATTTTTATATAATTTTTTATTATACTATTTATGCCTAAATAACTTATTATCCACTATATTCCCGATGTTTAAAACTTAAACTTTCTTACTTTAATCATGATTAAATTATTTAAGTCTTAAGATTCAGTTAAGACCTATTATAATTCAATTGTCACTTTTAGTCACCATATACATTATATGCTTATTATCATAACTTAATTTCATATTCAACTATGCTAATACATTTTGTCTTGTTGCACTAAAGGACTATGCTTTCTTAAAAATATACTTAAAAGTAGATATTGATGTTTCTATATGCTTAACCAAATTTTCATTGAATATTATGAACAACATAATTTTGAAAGTATATATTTTAATTAAAATATAAATAAATTATTTATCATATTTATAAAGCATAGATATGATGAATCATCTCACTAAATGAGGATAATATATAAATTATTTTTATTTTTATTACTATATTAATTGTAATTCAACGTGCATGACACTACAAGACGTCACTTTCATCATATATGAAATCAAGAAAAAAGAAATAGGAAAATATGTTAAAAAATAAAAGGGATTTTTCAGATAATTCGCCCAAGAATTAATTAATCTCCTCTAGTCGCCGAATTGATATCCGCATTGGATGAACAACTCGAGCAACTGATCAACACTCCGCAGAGGAAGCTTCAAAACTGTGGATTTTGAATCATGACGCCAATCTACAGTGTCTTGTCTTCTTATTATTCTTAAATTTGGTTTGCTGTATTGGTTCCTCTTCTCGTGAATGCGTCCTCTCGGAGTCTCCCGACCTCCACAAGCTCAATCATTACGCCGAAACGACAACACTCCGAGCACTGTATATTGGCAAAGATAAGAGACTGGAAGCAGATGATGCCAGGCTCGATCCCCTCGAGACAAAGCTAATAATTCTTGTGGGCGTTGTGTTCACGGGGGAAAGAAGATAATATTTGCGAGGTCGGTCATGGCACCGGATCGGGTGACGCTGCGAATGGAGATGGACACTCGCCGAGGTTGTTCCTCTCTCTCCCTCTCTCGCCTCCTCACAATCACCTTCACCTTCATGGCTGCCTCGGGACTCCCAGACAATTCCGATGACCTGATCGCTGCGACGTGCAACCGCACGCCGTACTTAGACGTCTGCATGTCCACCCTCACGTCCCGCCGCGGAAGCCGCAGCGCCGACCTGCACGGGCTCGCCGCCATCTCGCTCGATGCCTGCATCGCCCACGCCAAGGCGACGTTGTCGTACGCGAGGGGCTTGAGCAGGCACGACGGCATTGCCAACGACACCTACGCGTCCGGGTGCCTCGCTGACTGCCTGGAGGAGTACGGCGAAGCGGTGGACGATCTGCACGAGTCCGCGGGTGCGCTGCGGCGAGGGTCGTACGACACGGTGAACGTGCTGTTGGCCGGTGCCATGACCAACTCGGACACCTGCGAGAGCGGGTTCGGGGAGAAGCCGGGTCTGCGGTCGCCGTTGACGGAGAGAAACCAGTACTTCGGCAAGCTCTGCAGCAACTCCATTGCGATCACCGGTCTTCTTGGTTGACCTCTTTGGCTGTGCCTTCCAAATTGTATGGTTTCATCGGTGTGTTGCTTGTGAAGTACAGAATTGATGGAGTTGATGAAGGCATTTCGAGCTTAAAATTTCAGTCTATACTGCTAGCAATCTAAAAGTTGACAGTAAAGCTAACAATAAACGTTTAATTCTATAGCATTTACCCCAGAAATAAACTCCATTAAAATTATAACCAGTTCGAGAATAGTAAAAAAAGCAAAAACATGGAGAAGTGATAACAAACGAAAAATATGAGAGAAACTAAACTTAAATAATTTATATATTATGATATGTATATGAATTGATGGCAAGTAAGCTCAATGTAGCACAACTCACCGTCGCGGTTTACAGCTACATTGCACGAGTTTAGAGTACCATTGGATGTTTACCGGTCTTTATTGGGCTTAATTTGACCCTCTTTGGGTCTTGAAATAAATCCTACGTGACACTCAAGTTGCACAAAGTTGGTTCATAATCTCCTGATTTCATCTATAAATAATGAAAATTATTGATTTAAGGAGTACAATCATGTTATCAATTAATTAATAAAACGATGTTATCCACCATTATGTTGAGCGAAAAAATATAAAATATAAACAAAATCTAAAATATCGGCAAATATTCTGTATTAGAATGAATTTTAAAGATCAGCGATGAATATATATATATATATATATATATATATTCAATTCAAAATTTTAAATTATAAAACTGTCAAACGAACTCTATTATATCTTTTGACTTTTATCAAACACGTGTATACTTTTAATTTGATTTCAATGGTCATTTATTTTAATGGATATGATATGATTGTTGAATCTCGGATTTTGATGATGACGTCAATTGTCATTTGTTATCTAATCCATATGTTGAGATAAGTGTACAGGATTAACTACGATGAAAGTAAGACATGCAGTAGGAGTTGCGCCGGAGTCGAGACTATGATCACGGTGGGAGTTCGAGAGTTCGACGAAAGTCCGGACGGTCGTTGAAGGTTCTGCGGGAACAAATCCGAGAAGTCTAGGAGCATGCCAAAAGAAGCTCGTCGGAACTCGCCAAGTGGATCGTCGCAAGTCCAGAAGTTTGCCGGAAGTCCGTAGGAGCATCACCGAGGGTTCATTAGATGATTGACGGGAGTTCGCCGGAAGCTCGCTGGAAGAAACGATTGATGCACCGGAGCAAGTTGCAGTAAATGTCTTAAGAAAAATTGTAGTTAGCACGATTATTAAGTTAGAAATGGGAGGTGATCCCAGTAACTTAATCTTGGGGCAATTGGGCCTTGATAGACCCAAATTGGGCCGAATGGATCAGCCCATTCGAACCCAGATTTCTTGGCCAGAGGTGGCACCGCTTGGGTCGGCGGTGGCACCGCCCAGGGCTCAGTCTCCGAGCTCTGGCTGGGCGGTGCAACTGCCTCTGACAGAGGTGCAACCGCCCTAGTCAAGCAGTGGCACCGCCTGAGCTCGGTCTCCGAGCTCTAGCAGGAGGTGCAACCGCCCCTAACAGGAGGTGGCACCGCATAGAGGCTCAGTCTTCGAGCTCTGCCAGGCGGTGCAACCGCCAGACCCCGAAATTCCGGGAATTGACAGTTTTGAGCTCGAAATTTAAATTGGGTTGGGGCCTATAAATACCCCACCCTTTCAGCAATTGACAGTGTTGTATGAGTTAGAAGTTCTCCTCCCTCTTTTCTTCCAAGTTTTGATCTTTCAAGAGAGGAGAGAAAATTCTGTAACGGTTGTCTCCTAAGCCCATCAAAAGGGTGGTTGGCCTTCGCCTATTGAAGGAAGGCCTCTAGTGGACATCGGTGACCTCGTCGGTGGAGGAAGCCAGAAGTGGATGTAGGTCAAGATTGACCGAACCACTCTAAAATTGCGGTGCTCTCTGGTTTGCATTTACTTTGAGTATATTATCTTTACTGCAAACCTCCTCAATAGCTTATTGCCTTCTGCACATTTATGATCGTGTTTCAAAGTTCAGTATTTTCTGAATCGACGTTTAGACGTAAATCAGTTTTATCGTACGAACATCATATTTCAGTTTACGCTTATATTCTAATTTCCATCATAACTGCAAACTGCCTTCATAGACTTGCTTTAACTACATCCTACTTGATCACAAGTTAAAGTGATTTACGAATCGACTTTTCTACTGAAATCACTCTTATCGTACGAACGCAGTTTTAATCGTCGAAAGTTTTCCGCTGCACTAATTCACCCCCCCCACCCCCCCTCTTAGTGCTCTTGATCCTAACAATTGGTATTAGAGCGGGGTTAACTCTCAAATGGATTAAAACCTAAGAGAGATGGCATACGTCGGAAACCAAGAGGGCCATTCTATTACACGTCCACCCATGTTCAATGGGACGAACTACACCTATTGGAAGACCCGAATAAGGATCTTCCTTATTTCAATGGACTTTGAACTTTGGAATGAATTGGAGAAGAAGACTTTCACTCTTAATGCAAAGGCTATGAATGCCTTATTTTGTGTGCTTGATAAAAATGAGTTTAATCGTGTTTCGATTTGTGAAACTGGATTTGATATTTGGCATACACTCGAAATGACTCACGAAGGCACAAGTAGAGTGAAAGAGTCAAAAATCAATCTTTTGATACACTCTTTCGAACTTTTCCGAATGAAACCGAGCGAGACTATTGGCGACATATACACCTGTTTCACGGATGTCGTCAATGGTCTAAAAGGACTCGGCAAAAGTTTTTCGGATTTTGAGCTCGTAAATAAGATTCTAAGATCTCTTCCTAAGAGTTGGGACCCTAAAGTCACTGCTATTCAAGAGGCTAAAGATTTAAACAACTTCCCTCTTGAAGAACTAATCGGGTCATTAATGACCTATGAAATGACATGCAAGGCTCATGAAGAGCAAGAAGACATCCTTCCAAAGAACAGGAAGGATATTGTTGAATCTCGTATTTTGATGATGAAACTACTTGATATATATTTATGATTTAATCTGTGTTTTGAGTGATGCAGGGTGCTTCGATCATGATGAGACAATTAAAGCAGGAACATCATGTTGTGCCGGAGGAACATGTCAGAAGATTGGACGTCGGGCCGGTGGATCGGTCGACGTATCGACAGAAGGCTTCGGGTCGTGGTCTCGGGCATCGGGCCAAGAAGAGCGGGTATTGTGCTAAGGATATCGGAGTTGCGGAGTCAACTGGCCAATTGGGCAATAGGCTGCAGGAAAGGATGATGCGCCGAAGAATCGGACGAAGCGTCGAGGGACC